TCCGTTTCTTTGTAATATTAGCGTCGTTGGTGCGGAGAGTTCTGCTAAGTGTGCCACGGGGGAGGTAGCGCGGGGTAGTTGCGAATCTGCTCCGGAGAGCCTGGTCGCGCTTGCTGGGCCATCATCGAGCTAGTTAATTCGGAATGAATAACTAGTAGTGAGGCTATGAGTCTAGTATTCGGGTTGGGGTTAGGTGCGTGGGATTTTCTTCTCCCTAAAGGGCTCAAGGGTAGGAAACACTTGGCTGTGTTCACTTTCGACGGTTGGGCGACACGTGTTGTTTTCGGACTACACTGGGCACTAGAGACACGTCTGCACGCTTCGGCACTCCACAGCGAACTGAAAGTTAGGAAGTCAGATATATTTCTGTTTACGTGAAATACTAGGGCATTATGGTCACTGTCATAGGCTAAGGTTTTGAGAGTGTTATTTGGACGTAGGTTTTGAAATTTTAGTCGCGCATCTGCTAGGCATATGTCCAGGTATGAACCTTCTTTTGGGTAGCTCGGAACTGTATAAGTTTGTTTTGTAATGGATGCTTTTATTGTCTAGCCAGTTTCTAATGAAGTTGCCTCTCGTGCTGTTTATTTCGTTTTTCCAGCTTGTATGTTTTGCGTTAAGCTTTCCTGCTATTATATAGTAGTTTTCCTCTTTGTTGAGCTGTAAGACTATTGTCTACTACGGCTTGACAAGGGAAAGTTAGTTTTTCTCACGTACGATGCTTCCCACTAGCAACTTCCTATCGATGGGGGCTAAGACTTTCCTAGTCCACCAACTTTCGTTTATCCAATCAGAAGCAATGTATACTGCCTTCATTTTCCTGACCAAAAATATCATGAACAAATCCGATGGTCCCTCGCTAACACACCCATCGCTAACTTTCCTCCGACATAGCATCGTCACTGTACCTTACTTCCTCTACACCGCTAGAAAAGTCAACTTCTTATTCTACAACGCTAGAATAGTCAACTATAACAAAAGCTCTAAGAGCCTTGCTCGATCACCAACGAATATTGTGTCAGTGTATCGCATCTCCATATGCTAACTCATTGTCGACGATATATATTATAAGCAACGGTGTAACTGAAGTGGAAAAAATATATAACTTATAACTCTGTGAATCACAGTGTTATACCCTCTCAACCATCCCTATTATCTTAACGAAAATCAGGGGATCGATCAACTCGTTGTGTTGATTATTATAATCGTAACGGGAGTTTCCGACTCCCGTTGACATCTCCCTTCGCGATTGCGTCTCCCCGCGATTGGTCGAAAATACATTCCGTTTTTATTCAAAATTATTATTTGCCATTGATTTTAGAGAAAAACTTTCCATTAGTCTATTTGCAATAAAAAGATCCTTCTCTTATGAATCTTATGAATCGATTTGCACCTGACAACTAAATTGTAATAAAAGAACATAATGAACGATAAAAACCAAATTCGTAATCTAAAATATTGTATAACTGTTACGTATTTTGAATGTAGATACACACACATATAATATATTTTGCATATGTACACATTTATATATTCTATTTTACATACATTGTCATATTTTAACATACTATATACAAATAAAATTTCGCACTATAATAATCGTTATTTGTAGTAATCGATATTAAAATAATTATTAAATATTTGTTTAATTAATCCTAAAATTGAAGTAGAATTATGAAAATGTTAACAAAAGAATTACGTTTAGATTTCATAAACATATCGCAAAGTGACCGATTTAACCAGCGATCGTACAGAGGTCCCACTTGTAGTCTTGAAGTATAACCAATCAGCAAACAACGCTACCTCATCGTCGACATTATATCATACTAGCGCATCATTATAGAGTTCAGTACTGTTTAATCTGTTGAGATAAATGTCATGTTGGTATGACCATTAGTTCCTACATCCAGAGTTTGTACGACTGCTTGTGATTCTCTTCTGTTTTTCAGCGTCCGCCATGTTTTTTTTTTTACCAGAGTATCCGGTGTGTTGTAAATGACTGCATAAGGTGGTAAAGTACAGAGTATACAAAACTAATCTGTGTGAATCAATTAAGTATCAAACCCCAAACCTATGTAATAACATAATCGTCTTTCGTATTCGAGACAAGGTAGAGTGTAAATCGTATAAAACTTTACTGAACGTTATAATTTTTTAATTTGTCAAGCATTACTTGGCAATGAGTACTAAGTGAGGAATTAAATTTAATTAGAAACTTGAGCTGCAGTTTCTGTAAAAAGAGATTTAGCGAAGGTAAATATTTTATATATACAATTTTATAAAATAAAAATATTCGTATACATATTAGTTTTGTATAAATAATTTTAACCTAAATATTTGTTCTTGGATGGATAGGGTTGTTGAGGAAAATATTAGGTTGGTATGATCACTAGTTCCTACATGCGAAGTTGGTACGCTTTTAACAACGCTCTTTTGTTTTGGCTTCCGCCACGTGTTAATTATCTGAGAGTATCCGGTGTGTTCATATGGCTGTACATGGTGGTGAAATACAAAATATAAAAACTGAATCTATATGAATTAAATATCGAACGCCAAAACCTATTTAATAACAGGGGTAGTACAGTAACCGAAAAGGAAATTATTCTACATGCAAAAGTAAGTCGTAATAACAAATACATTTTCTTCTTTTATGTTTTTTGTATTTTCATTACATTTTTTATTTTCATGTACATAACCGTATTTCATTTAAAGAAGAATTTACTTTCTCAAAGACTTTTCATACAAATTTGCTATTTTTGACATCTTATTTCAACCTTTGTCTTTGTTTGGGTACTGTACCGCTTATTTCTTTTTAATGTTTGCATTGTTCACAGGCTGTACTAATTTTGTGTGAGTAATTTAGAAATATATGAGGTCTTGCAAATCAAATAATTTGATGTAGGTAATTCTTAATTTTCATAAAACAGTTCTGAACTGCTATGACTGTGTGGAAACGAAGAAGCTTGGTAATGAAATATAGAGTAAGTAAATCTTGTCGCAATTGTAAGTTGAGAGAATACGTTACATGTTTCATTTCTCCTTTCGTATGATCTTGTAAACTAATCATGTTTCTTCTAATATAAGTTGTTTTTTGTACTTTTATTTCACTTTTTTAAGAATAATGATTAAGAATAATTTTTTTAAGAATAAATTTTTATAAATTTCCTCTTTGTTAAAGTTATTTTTTCTTTTTTAATTTGTCTTTTATCACAAACTGTCACATTTCAATAAGAAAAATTCTATTTATTTAATATTATTTATATTTATTTCTACATAAAATTATTTGTGGCATATTTATACTTAGTTTAAAAGTCTTTAAATTTGTTGGTTACTGCAAAAAAACATTAACAAAGTTTTTAAGTTTTTCTTAGATTATTATAATTTGTGAATTTGTCTGAATTGCTATTCTTCTATGATAAAATGATCTTAGCTTAATGCTGCTTTTGCTTTTTAATAAAATTCGTCACTCCTTGTAACTATTTTTCTTTGTCACAAAAAGAAATCACCATCCTATTGTTGTTTTTTAATGAATTTTGTTGTAAATTCTGAATACTATGCAATATATTTTTCTTACACATATTATACATTTTGTTTTCATCTGTTTTGTATTTTATGCTGTTTTCTGCATTCACTGATCGTTCTTGTCTCCTGACTACTCTAACTTTAATTATCCTTTTAGTTATTAATAGCAGTTTCATATGTAAGTAACTTTAATTATTTTTTTCTATATTTTTAGCATATTTACATACTTCACTATAGGTAGATTATTCTATTCTTTCTTTCTTTTATCCAGGAAGTATTTGTGTTATTTCTTCTATTATTGTTCAGTTTAAATTTATTATTATTTCTGTATCATCGGCTTCATAACTCTATTTGAGTTTATTATGTGTGTATTACTTTTTGCAATGTTTTCCTGTCTAATTATGTGTTCTCCCATGTTTGCCAGTTTTAACATGTAGTTTACGCCTCATTTTATTATTTTGTGTTCCAAGATTATTCTTCTTGCTTTTAATCACATAATCTGGCATTACATGGTATTTCAGTATATTTAATATTCTTTTTAGGAAATGTGTTTGTGTTTTATCTATTCTTGTTGAATAGTGGGGAACCCATATTCTTATACCATATAGCTGTACTGTGTATGGTTGACTATGTCCTTATGTCCGATTACCATTAAAGCATTAATTTCTGTCCACACCATGAATGTTTTCGCTATAATGTAAGTTGGGTCACATATATATTTTTTCTCATACACAATACCAAAAATTGCCTTTGCCAAATCAATTTATACAGGGTAGTGATCAATATACAGGGTGGTTAGTAACTGGTGGTACAAGCGGAAAGAAGGAGATTCTACGCGAAAAAAGAAGTCGAAAATATAGAATAAAATTTTTTTTTATTTTTTTTCTTTTTTTTAATTTTTCCATCGAGACAACATTCTACAGTGAGGTCCGTTATAACGAGACGTTTTTCTATCGAGACCACGATCTACAGTGAGATCCGTTATAACGAGACGTGATAAGTGCACGCGTACCGAGCGAAAATTCAAAGTCGATTTTCTCGAGAACAAAGCCTCAAACGAAAAATTTTTATTCTATATTTTCGACTTCTTTTTTCGCGTAGAATCTCCTTCTTTCCGCTTGTACCACCAGTTACTAACCACCCTGTATATTGATCACTACTTGTGAAACAACAAACAACTCGCTAAACTCAAAACTGTTATTTTTCATTCTCATATTCATCTTCATATTCATGAAGTAGCATTAGAAAATACAAACAATGACCAGAAAAGAGTGATGCCCTGAAACAAAGTTTAATCTATTTATGTTTAATATCATTTTGGGTTCTTCTACTTTATCTCTTATTTACAACCTTTTTATAATAATAGTTTTCCCTCTCTTTTCTTCTTTTAATTTTGTGTGACTCTTCTAGTACGTCACTTCTTTTTGTTAGTTTGCTTCTTTCTTCTGCCCATTTTGGTTTGTTCATCTGCTCATTTTCTTTTCTTTTCTTCTATCTTTTTCTATATTCTGATATCTTTCTATTATAATATAAAATCTCTCTTAATTAAGCATAAATTTTTCTTACCTTCTTTAATTTGTCTTTCATATTCCTCATTCCCTTCAATATTATATGTACTTTCTGTAGGATTTAAGGTTTGATTTAAGATCATTCCTTCATTTCCTATATTATATAACTTATTTTCTTTGCTCCTACTTGCTGTTGTTTGTTTTTTGTCTTCTACTGCTATTTTACACTTTGTGATTTATTTTAGTGATTTCTCTCTTGTGTTTCTTTCTTATTATCATGGTTACCGTTGCCCTCTTGAGCTTCTTTTATTTTGCTATATTTTCCTAACGTCTGTCTTTTTCTTGATTTTTTACTAAATTCACTGTCAGAATTTGTATTTTCTTGTTTTCCTTTTATTACACTCTATATTGTTCCCTTAATGCCAATGGCATGAATTTTGCAATTTGGCCAACTGTGGATATTCATAACTAAACATGAAAAGCAATTAAATAACTCCGGAAATCAATGTATCCGAAATTTTCTTTCAAACTTTACTTTTCATACCATATTCAAGTATAATTGTGAAATAAATTTTAATTTTTATATCCTTATTTTGCATTATACATCATGTATATATATGGATTTACCCGAGGTTTCGGAGGGAAGGCATCGGTGTCCTCTTATTTCCGACATATATATAATTCTTTGTATCATAATAATATAAGGAAATGACATTTTGATAAATAAACTAAGGAAAATGATTATTATTTTTGATATTTATATATGTATATATATCATTTTGCCATGAAATTCAATACACACCTCAATTTAGACAAAAGAAGAAAAGGAAGTAGAATTTGTCACAAAAGCTGAAAATGTTCACATTTATGCTCCAGGCATGAAACCCATGATATTTTCCCTTCACTTTTTAATTATATTTCCCGCTATTTCGATTTTTCTAAATGCCCTTTCACGCTTTTTTGCACATACTATCTTTCCCTTGTTGCTATTTCTGTTATAATGTTAAATTATCTGTTAAAATATTAAATCGCATGCTAAAATTTAAAAAATTGAAAAAATTCTGTTAAAATTCATTTTTTAGGAAATTTGAAGAGTTCTCGTTGCCAGAAATTTAAGGTAAATGGATTTTGTGATATTCAGGCAAACTGACTCCAGAGTAAGATAAAACTTCATAAATTCTTTCCTATGGTGCTTTGGTAAGTTCGTTTCTTTATTCGCTTTTAATTATAGAATGCATTACACCATTTAAAGAAGGTGATAAACTCCACGTATGCGTTATCTTTTCTATGCGTTATTTAAAATTACAAATGAAAAGAATACGTTTCATTTTTGTTTTGTTATATACACATTTGTATCAATGGGATCATAATTCTTGGGATCATAAGATACCAATATTCTGTCTTGAGTGAACCCAAAAAGAAAACAGTTTACCTCACGACGTTTATGAGGTTGAAACTCTGAAGGTACGTCTCTTTTATCTTTTCTTGTGGTTCTTACAGCTGAGACCTTTGGATTTTAACTCGTAAACAAGTTCGCTTAATGTGCGATTTATAAATATTTACATAGAACTGCCCGGTCAATAAGGTTGTTTTCTTCCTGAAAGTACAAACTGGCACGGTCGAATTACAATTAAATTCTTTGGTAAGTTCTAATGAACACTTGTGTAAATTTTTACGAAAATTAGCATGTATCTGTTACTTGGATTTCCTTGTAAGATATTTCTAGGCGAGGCATTTGAAATTCGTACACACTTTGCCGGATACCTCGTGTGCTAACGTCGAAAAACTTGCACACGCGAGGTTTTTGATTAATTTTTATCGAATTCATTTTCTTTGAAGATTCTCCACCGGTACAACGTTTTGGACCGACATTTATATTTGATAAAATATTACCAACGCAATGGTTTCTGGAACACGTTTATAATTGTCTTCTACTCGTACACCTGTATGTTTGGTGCTTAGAAGGAGGAATTTTATATTAGGTTTACTTTTATACATAGTAAGCGTGTAGTTTTCTAATTTATATAAATATGAGGAAAACAATGTCATCTTGTCCTCTTTTCCCTCGAGCATCGAGTTTCATTTTTCCCCATATAAGGGAAACCATTCAAAATATATTTTGTTTGGACGTCAATTGCTAACGAAAACTTAATGCCCAATTTATGAGGCTTATTCGGCATATATTGCGTAAACCTTTTTTTTTCCTCGAGGAGAGGAAAATGCTATTACGCATACCCAGTAACTGAATATGTTGGACTCGGCGGATGGAATCGCTATACCCACTAGAAACTCCTCTATCCGGTCCTCTTATGGTACAGGATCCAACGCCGGAACCGCCTTTCGACATTACTTCAGCGTTGGTCTTAGTGTGTACTCCTCAATAGTTCAATCTTCTCAATTCAGTCTACTAGCTCGTCTTTTCCTCCTTCCCACAATCCTCTCTTGTACTCGTCTTTCTTGCATGATTTTCCTGGAAAACGCTTGGAACCTAGTCCAGTTATTCTCTTTCCTGATTACTGTCTCTATCAAATTTTCCACCGTAAGTGGCATGCCAACATAGTTTTCAAATTCAGTCCTCTTGTAAATCCACCTAGGGCACTGGAACAACGCTCTATGCTCCCCGGACATATAGAATTCCTAGAAAACTACGTAACTCAGCAACTGTGATTATCCAGTCTTTTCTCAAAATACGATACACCTCGGTCTCAATGCAATCTTTTGTGTGTTCTATTATGTGTCTGTCAATTATCAATTGGAAAGCACTAGTTACACAACCCAACATAATATTTCTCTTAGAATAGCCAGTAGACTCTGCGATATCCTTGAATATCATACGAACGGGCGTCCTACCCCTGGATCCGCCTGCTTTCAGTTTTATCCACTGTGTCCCGTCAATTGCAATTTCAATTTCACCCGTTACATTTCGGGATGTGCTTGGAATGCACGTCCTCTCATCCTCGGAGTCAGAACTAGGAAGAATACGCATCCTTTTCTTGTTATGACATACTTTCAAGAAGTTTTCTTCTTCACTATCCAAAGATTCTTCTATCTCTCCACTTTCCATGTATTCAGAACTTTCACTGGCAGCTTCGCTTTGGCCTAATTCATACTGATCTTCTTTGGAGGTGTCCTCAGAACGATCTTCATTGATGTTGACAATTATGTTCAATATCTTATTATATCTCTTGGATCTACTCATAATTGCTAGAAAAGGAGGATTGATCAAAAAAAGAAAATGCTGTGATCACATTCAATTATCCTATTGTAAATACTTATAGTAAGCGGAGAAAATAATGGGAAATGTTTGAAACCTTTGCACAGTCTTTGAAAATCGGTTTGTTTATGAAATCAGCTAGCCCGTCAAGGTGTTAGAGATATGTATACTACATACAGATTTAAAAAATTAGAAAGCCTAGGAAAAATAATTGCGTGTATAAATTCTTTAGATGAAATGATTAATTTACGATGCAAAGTGGTTAAAATTAATGCTATGGTTTTTGGGACATATCATTTCGAAGTTTGAAATTCGTCAAATAGACGGGTTGTAAACCTACTGTTAATGAACTTAGCCATATTTGTATTAAATATAGCGCATAGACCAGGGACAAAAAGAGTGCCAATCATAATCCATAGCAAAGCCAAAACATCACCATAGATAAGCAATCAACCCACAATTACAACCCATAATTACACAACTCACCGACATTGCATTTAACCACAAGTACCAACCCTGGAACCACCTTTAGGCATTACTTCGGGGTTGGTCTTTTTTCCGTGTATACTCCTTCTCTAATCAAGATGCTTTTATTTAGATCTCCTTCTCCTTTCAAAGTTCTTCTCCTGGACTTGTTTAACTTCCATGATCTTCTTACATAGTCCTTGGAATCTTACCCAATTCTCCTCCCTGCTGCTCACCACCTCAATTATTATCGGTTGTCAGTGGCATGCCCAAGTAATTTTCTAATACTGTTCTATCATTGTTCCAGTGGAACAACGCATGCTCCGCATCATCTTCTTCAGCATTATAATCCCAGCATCTTGAGTGGACCTCCTTATTAATCGTCTTACGATATACGTTAAATATTCCATGTCCACTCAAGATCTGCATGGTAAAGTCTTCAATATTCCTTCTGTACTTCTTTTAAAAATACAAGCGTCATTTATAAGTCTTCTTGTCCAATTATCCTCCCTATAATAACTCCATTTTTCTCTCCACTTTTTCTCCATACGTTCTTCCACTGTCCTAATCCTTTCTATAAAAATTGAGGCGACTCCTGACCTAGAGCGGGTGTTATATCGCTCCTGTTGTTCTACCCTTCTCATCTCATAGTTTTCCGTCCGCAGTTCTGGTTTAAAATATATCGACATTGTGCCCGTAAGCACACACTGTGCTAACACGTGTTGCTTGCTATCTCCCGGTTCCAGCAGGTTCTGTTGTTGTCGTTTTTAAGGATCAAACAACGTTATGTTTTTGTTGAGGTTATTCGATGTGTAAACAGAGAAAACTCATGGATAAATTGTAAGGTAGAAAATATATTTAAATAGAAGTGTAATTATAGGTAAGAATACAATTTGAGTTGGTCCAGATCCGCACGCTAGCTGTGTTACCCAATAACTGAAAACCCCGAAGCCAACGTCGCCTGTCTACTGTTTATGGTCTGACTTCGTCGCAGTCGTTTGTCTACGCGCTGTTGAAAACTAAAAAGACCAGATGTAGAGTTTTCTTATAAGTGGTGACCACTTCAACAGTTTTGTTTCTTCCGCCGTGACAGTTTGCTATCCTGAATGCTTGTTGTTTTCTTGATAGTTTCGTATTTTTATTTTGTTCACCCGGAGTTTGTAAATAAAGCTTCGCGGCACCTTGTTTACTCCTGTGATCAGGAACCTTCGTGTAGTAATACAGGCCATGCCAAGTCGTAAATACGAACAAAGTAGTCGTGTACGACGGAACACATTCAGTCTATGCTCGATCTCTTCAATACGATATTTGACAGAAATTCAAATTTGATTTTCTTGCAAACGAGGCTTCGGGTGAACAAATCTTATCTCTTTTAGCGGATTGTATTGCAATTTTTTTTGGATACCCTGTGTGATATTGAAGTTACCTGTAACATCACATATCAGCATATTGGATAGTTTTTTTCTGTAAGTTCCGACACAATATGTGCAACTTTTAAAAATATTTGCTTCATAGAAACATTGATCGAAAGGAATAATAGTCTCATTTTCTCGGCTATTTTACACAAGCTCTGTGTTATAGATGTTACACGGAACATGTTAGGATCAAAAATTTTTAAACTTCTTCTAGTTTCCAACATATACGAAATCGAATTAGATACGAACAATAGTTTGCAGCAAGTGCACATTAAAAATAACACATTTTTTTTAGGAATTCATAAATCGTGCAACAGTCGTATGTTGAATTTGAATTTCTGTATGATTTTGTTTCCTTTGCAATTCTTTATAAACAAATGAATGAGGCGTCGAAGACTGCTCTTTCACATAATGTTTAACCATCACGTTTACTTATGTAACATCCGACTTTATCCAACGATTATTTCATCAATTCAAATCCAAATATATCTTCCTCTAGCGTTGACTTGCTAAGAATATTTTTATATGCATATTTTTTCCAAAAAATTTACCAATATCACGATATTTAAGTACTTATGGACCATATGCAGTTACCGTTACTTCGCATAAATCAGTCATAACCTCCATCAGTATGTAGAGGTAGTCGGATGGAGTTTCAACCCCCTCGGCCACTCTCTAGTCGTAGATCCTCCGATACATTTCGGAGGTAGCCCACGTGACGTCGACCGCGGAGGATCCTCTCCACGCCACGCAAGTGCTTGCCGAGCCCCTGTTTGCCAGTAGGATCCTGAGACCCGCAGCCCAATCGATCAGGATCCTTCCCCGAGTGTCCGTTCTGGTGTTTTCCCACTACGAGGAGTGGGCGTTAAAATCCCCAAGGACGAGTACCTGGCGAGGAAGGCATCTTCCGACGTATTCGCCAACCCCGTCCAGGAAGTCTCCGAACGCCACCAAGCCGCTGTTAGGGGAAACGTAAACGCCCACCACCGCTATTCCAGCTCACTCGACCGCGACATAGCCGCT